TAAAGGATCCCAGGTTCAATTCTGGTCAAGGGCACATACCTCAGTTGCAGGCTTGATCCCCGGCCCTGGTCAAGGCATGTACAGGAGGCAACCAATCGATGTGTTTCTCTCACATCCATGTTTCTCTCTGTCTCTCCCCCTCCCTTCTACTCTCACTAAAAATCAATGGAGAAATATTTTCAGGTGAGGATTAACCAAAAAAAAAAATTTTCAGGTGCACATATGAAAAACGAAGGAAAATTTAGTTTGGTCTTAATGAACTTGGAATTTTAGTACTCTAACATAGAGAGGGCTGCAGCAAAGCCTATAAATACCCATGTTATCATTGACTAGAAATGGACTTCACACGACTACATACAATTAAGCAAAAAGAAACCATTTTTGCTTAATTGAACAAGTTGTATCATTTGGCATTAATAGTTTGGACATGAGCTTTAAAAGTAAAGATAAAGAAGGCGTTATGGTGTTACAATACATTTGTGAAGATAATTTTCTTCAGCTAATATTTTGGGAATACAAGAGGAAATTTCCTTTTGTTGTTCTCGCCACTTGAGTATATTCTCTGCCAGTTCTTCTGTCTCATTCACCAAAATATCCATCTTGGCTAAAGCCTTGCTCTGTAACATTTGAAAGAAGGGGAAAATAGGAGAGAAATTATGCCTGTCATTAATATATCATTACTATATCACAAATGGTTATGATTCCAGCCCCTGAATACAAAGGTGCCTTAAATTTGTGCTCTCCCACTTCTTATAGACACACTTTTTCTTCAAGTCACCTCTCCTGTCTTCAATTATCACCTCGATGCAGATGACCTTCAATCCATATTGTCAAACCTAATCTCCTTCCTAAAATTCAGTCCCACGTTTCAATCTGTTGGAAAACTCCATCTGGATATACATTCAATCTCAATTTAACTGCAATTCAACAAAGGTTGAACGTTTACTATCTATGCAAGACATAACAAAAACAAACTCATTAACTTCTTTAATTTTTTGGTCCTACTCACCCTCAAGTCAGCAAGAATAGAAATTTCATTACTTTGGATGTGTTCCAAAAAGTAGCCATATTCTAGAAATTAGACCTTCAAAATATAAAAATCTACACAATCCTTTGTATTCCTCAGCTTTAAATCTTTTATCTGAATAACTTATTTATTCTCCAAGTTTCTTTGCCTAGTCCTCTAACAGTTTATCAAACTTTAATGTGCATAGGAATCACCTGAGGAACTTGTTAAATTGTAGATTCAGATCGTGAAGGTAAGTGAATGAAATCTGCAATTCTGCATTTCTAACAAACTTCCAGGTGATGCTTACGCTGATGTTCTCTGCCCACACCGAGTGGCAAGGCTCAGTCCACTCTATTTAATATTTTCTCCATTATTAAAGTACAGTTCTGATCAAGTCACTCCTCTGTGCCTTTCTCTAAAAATCAAAAATTCAATAGTTCCCCAGTACTCAAACAGTCAAGTCTAAACTTCTCAGTCTCAAGGCATTCCATAACTAACCCTGAGTTAATTTCCCTCTCAATACCTTTAAGTGTCATCCAAAGTAGAGTACCACTCTTCCCTCAAGCTACTGTGCTCTTCTAATTTTCTTTCATTTTTTAAATTTTTATTTACTGATTTTTAGAGAGGAAGGGAGACAGGGAGGGAGGAAGAAAGAGAGAGAGAGAAATATTAATTTGTTGTTCCACTTATGTATTCATTGATTGACTTTCTTGTATGTGCCCTAACTGGGGATTGAGCCACTCAGCCAGAAGCCGGGATCATGGCTGGTGAGTGCAGTGGTGGTGGCAGAAGCCTTTCCCGCCTCCATGACAGGCAGACATCCCTCGAGGGGTCCCAGACTGCAAGAGAGCGCAGGCTGGGCTGAGGGGACTCCCCTGCCCCCCACTGCCCCCAGTGCACAAATGTCATGCACCGGGCCTCTAGTACTGGAATAAAAGAATGTAAAATGACTTTTAAAGAAAAATAATATAAAAAAAAGAAATAGCATCTTGATTTTATAAAATAAATCACTCATATTAACCATCAAAAAATTAAACAAGCCCTAACCGGTTTGGCTCAGCGGATAGAGCGTCGGCCTGCGGACTCAAGGGTCCCAGGTTCGATTCTGGTCAAGGGCATGTACCTTGGTTGTGGGCACATCCCCAGTGGGGAGTGTGCAGGAGGCAGTTGATTGGTGTTACTCCCTCATCGATGTTTCTAACTCTCTATCCCTCTCCCTTCCTCTCTGTAAAAAATCAATAAAGTATATGTAAAAAAAAAAAAATTAAACAAGTAGGTTAGACATTTGAGATTATGGTATAAAACAGAACTAAAGAAAGCTAAAAGTGCCCTAGCCGGTGTGGCTCAGTGGATAGAGCAGGACTAGAGGGTCCCAGGTTCGATCTGATCAGGGCACATGCCCAGGGTTGGGGGTTCGATCCCCAGTAGGGGGCGTGCAGGAGGCAGATCAGTGATTCTCATTGATGTTTCTAGCTCTCTCTCCCTCTCCCTTCCTCTCTGAAATCAATTTTAAAAAATAGCTAAAAGTAATGTGAAAGGAGTTGATGAGGTACTTAAATGCTATTGTTAATACTCACCATTCTCTTTAGATCTGCATCTAAATGAGGAATATTTCTAATTGTTTCAAGGTGGGTTTCTAATCTCTCAATAAAAGTAACTGCCAACTCCAGCAAATGTACCATGTATCTGAAAGAGGGAGGAAAAAAAAGTCAATTATTATTTTGTTTTAGTGTAGTTATTTTGTGTTCTCCTTTTCCCCTTTTAATTAGGACTTTCAATATGATATAAAATAATCACAACCCAATGAGCCAATTTTAACCTTTCTGCATTCATGGAACTATCAGTGATAAAGCCATTTCAAAATACTAATTCTCAATCATAAGCGAAGACAATAAGGACAAATGTACTTCATTGAAATAGCCTACAAATACAACTACTTTGAATCTGTGCATTCGCAAAATGCTTTAAAATCATTATTCAGTTCTTCTAATATATATATTGCATAATATGTACAATAATGGTATTTAATGTACTGAATAGATTCTGAATAAATCCACAAGAATGGGATCTGTATATCTATTATATTACTGTAAGATAAAAAACCTGATACCCAAGAGAAGATATTGATTTGTTCAGGGTCAGTTAGTGAGCACTGGTGGAGAAAGTTAGGAATCAGATTTCTGCTTCTTTACTTTATTATTAATAACTAAAGGCCCGGTGCACAAAAATTTGTACACTCGGGTGGGTCCCTCAGCCCAGCCTCTGGCAGTCTGGGGCCCCTCGCGGGCCCCTTCCCCTGGCTGGTGGCACCAGTTTTCCTCCGGCGCCCAGAACCCAGGCCTTTGCTCTGCACCGGGAGGGGCCAGTGCGGCGGGCGAGGGGCTTAGCTCTTTGCCCGCCACGCGCAGGCCCCGGAGGCGTGGCAGAGGCCGGCGTGGCTGGCTTCCCTCTTTGCTCTTTGCTCACCACGCTGGCCTTTGCTCGCTGCCCCTGCCCGGGGCCAGCCAGCTTTGCTCCGTTGCTTGGCGCCTAGGTATACAAATTAACCGCCATCTTTGTTGGCGGTTAACCACCATCTTTCTTGGCAGTTAATTTGTACATCGCCCTGATTAGCCGATGGGAAGCATAGCGAAGGTACGGTCAATTATCCTTTTTGTCTTTTATTAGATAGGATAACTTACATCTTCAATTTGGTACTTGCAATACTCCCATGAGGAAGTAAGGAACAGAAAGCATCTATGGATTGGGAAACTGAAGCAAAAAATTTAAATCATTTGTCCAAGTCTTTGAGGGATATAAACAACAGAGATGAGACCAGAACTCAGTTTTTCCCCCTCCTTTAGTTGACATTGTTTTCATCTGTCCCTGCTTAAACTCCCCCAACAGAATTTGTATATATAGTGTGGGGCAAAAGTAGGTTTACAGTTGTTCGTATGGGAAATAATACAATCTCTATATATAAAACCCTAATATGCAAATAGACCAAACGGCAGAACAACCAAACAACCAGTCGCTGAGAGATGTGCTGACCACCAGGAGGTGCGCACAGAACAAGGAGAGCATTGGCCGCAGGATGGTG